CTTTTTGCTCTCTCCCTCTATTATAATAGTGTGTGTGTGTGTGTGTGTGTGTGTGTGTTTGTGTGTGTGTGTGTGTGTGTGTGTGTGTGTGTGTGTTGTGTGTGTGTTTGTGTGTGTGTGTGTGTGTGTGGTACTTGGATGACTGCTTCTTGGTGATTTGAAGTGGCTACCTTGGCAGGGCCTGGAAGTTCTAGTTTAGGAGAAGACATATTGTGTAAGTCAGATGGAGTTAACTCTAGACCTGTAACAGTGTCTCATTATTCCGGGTCTCCCTGTTCCTCTAAGTTATTCTCTGAAGAACCCTGAATAAGATGATCTAACTATACCTATGAAGGAAAGGTCAGAGTGCACAGTACATCTACAGACACTTGGAGCATGCTTATTAAAGCTACAAAGAAGACACAAGGTAGACAAGTAGTGTCTTTAGTCTGCAGTACTTTTGATGTTATGTGTTTTTATGGAGTATGTCAGAAATCCTCCTTTCAAAGTGTTTAAAGGAAGAGTAAAAAGAGTCCAAATCAAAGTAGCAGACTTCCAAAAAGATTCCCAGACTTTTAGTTTCAAGTTTAGATTGAGCTACTATGAAATTGGATCCTACATTTTCCACAAAGCTAACTGGGAGCATATTTTGTTAGGTTATATTTTGCCAGTTATACTTTCCAACTGGTAATGGTTTGATTTTGGCTTTGATTTAATTGTTGTTTTTATGCTTTAGTGTTCCAATTTTCTGCCATGTTTGCCATGAGTCGTCTTTGACTGCATGTAGTATGTGTAATCTTGTGGTTGTTCCCTCCCACACACCTCAGAGAGTGACAATGATGCATTGGAAGTGCAGTGCAAGTGTATGTTAGAGAGTGAGGAGGACCTCCTTTTGAGCATGCAGAATAAGCTGGAACAAGTTAAAAAAAACAACAACCAAAGGACGATAAAGCAGCAGCAGCAAAGGCCTTCTTACCAAACTGTGTCAAATGTGTTTCCTACATGTTTGTGTACTACCCCCCTGCTGTAGCCTCTTCTTGTTTTGCTTGTTAGTTCAGGACTGCAGCTGTAGCACACTTCTGATTTCAGCCTGTGGATAATTAAAAATGCAGTTTGTTGCATTTAATTAAAATAATAATCAGTTTTAATGACGTACAGCTCAGAAGTTTACATCCATTCATCGTGGGCATGAATGTCGCGGTAAATTGGGGTTTTTAATGATTTCTTTGAACTGCTCTTTTCCAGGGTGGAACGATAGTACCAGATACAACTTAAATGACTTTTAAAAAGAGTTGGGTGCACAAGTTTAAATTTATTTTGGATTTTCAGATAGCCGCATAGGGTGAAAAGAATATATACAAGCTCAAATTTATGCATACATTCTACACGGACACCTCATTAAATATCCTCTCCACGCCCACCAGACACTTTAGGTAGCCATCAAGAAGCTTCTGGCTTGATTCTGACTGGATATTTTTCACATCTCACATAAAACTTTTCTCCAGAAGGTGTTTGGGTTGTAGCTGTAGCTTGAAGGTATACCTTTGACCCTGTGGGAATTAGAGAAAATCTAAATAAATTCAAACTTGTGCACCAAGTCATTAAAGTTGTATGCTGTGCAATCATTCCACCCTGGGAAAAGAGCACTTCCAAGAAGGCATTAAAAACCCAAATGTAACATGACATTCATGCCAATGATGGGTGTTTGTGTAATTCTGCACATAACTGTGTCTTATAGTACCAAGATCCTCAAATGAACATACCAGAATGTGAAATATTTTTCCTTCTTAGAGCGCATTTTCATTAAAACATCTCTGGATGCATTATTAAGGTTGCATTTATTACTAAAATACAAACTTGGGTTTGTATAGTGTATCATACACAGAAAACCAGTCTATCTCCGTTCTGCATGTGGTGTTGCTTTCATGATCCATATGAACACAAGCATCCACTTGGCAGTTTTAGACCTGATTATTTTTCCAGTAAGTGTTCTTGTCAGGCTGTCTCCAAGCTTTAATTACTGTGATTTTCCCTTGCTGCACACTATAATATTTGGTAAATACTTTCAAACTGCCAGCATGAAAACAGCAGGAGTCTTCAGTTTACATGAAAGTTTTTTGACAACTCTACAGGAAAATTACTCTATGACAGAATTTGGCTATGATGGCAAACTTGAATTGGATTGAATTTTGAATTGATATACCTTTATTAGTTCTACAAGGGGAAATTTCATAAGGCTGCCGACCTATTGCACGCAATGGCGGCGCCATCTTACCCTCCGACCATACATACATTACACAAAACATCACATGGGGAAGACAGGTCAGAGAGGTATAACAATGGAAAATGCACCACACTGAGGAAAGATAAGGAGAAAAAAATAACTCCCCTCCAGACTGAGCTCCAACAGGGAGATCAGTTTGAGAACAGAAAAAAACACCTCTGCACATGAAAAAACTCTTAATACACCAAAGAAACACATGACAAGCAACAGGGGGGGTAAAGGGTGAGAGACAGCCGATATTAGACAGTACATCCGGGCCTGCGTGCGCTGGTCTCCTTGATCCACCGTCAGCATCGGAAGGGAATAAGCGTTCGAAGGCGTTTGGAAAGGGAGGGGGGATGAGTGTTAACAGTCTTCCAGCCAACCCAGGTGGCCTTGCGTGGAATGGGAAAGAACAGACTAAACACAGTCTGATAGGTTTGTAGCTTGAACCTATTCGCTGGAACGTTGAAGACAATATAATTACACAGCAAGCAAGACACGAAGTAGGCAAAGTTCTTCATGTTTCTCGTGCACGGGAGAGAACCGGACAAACGCCGTCCTTCGCTTGACCCCAGTTGCTCTCGTCTGCCTCCCCATAACACTGCTCTTTTATTGAGGTTACATGAATATGCATAGGTTCATTAACATATGATGTCGTACATACAAACATTGAGTACCTTGCCTGTGCGTTGTGTAAGGGTGTGTGTGTGTGTGTGTGTGGGGTCAGAGTGACCCCATAAATAACTTCCCTAAACCTGCTGGTCTGGAAGTCCAGCAGTTCATCTAAACAAAAGGCACTTAGACTAAAACAGATATAGATACGTTTATCCCACCATAAAACAATAAGACAAGGTACGACCTCTCTCATGCTCCCAGAGTGCTCTGGAATGCACACAAAGTTTGCAGACTATTAAGGATCAAACCTCTACCAATCTAAAACTAATTATAAAACTCTAAGCATATATAAGTAGATATTTCTAAGCATAAATGACAATCAACAATACAAAACCTGACACAGTCGTTATCAGGGTGTTGTTGTTCAGCTCCAGCCTTGAGACAGCAGCTGGCGCCAAAGGGGTATCCGCATAAGTGATGGTATTTTTTACTTTAGTGCGAACAGCTCATATGAATTTCAAAGCAGTTCTACAGTCCAACACTGGTCTCTCAATCTCCCGTTGGAGAGCCGCGAGCTTCGCCATACTTGCGTTCTGTGATGTTGTCATTTCTTGTGCTCAAGGAGCCGATTCTGAGAACTCACGGCAGTGTGCCTCCCCGAGATGTCATCCAATTTGCGCCAGAGATAGACCGCAGTGAGCCCTTTCCGAGATGTATCCAGTCTGCAGTCAGAGATCTTATTCTGAGTATTCACAGCAGCCGTAGCCTCTCCAAGATCTTATCCGTGCTGCACTCAATGAGCCCATTTTGAGAAACTCACGCCTCTTCCCATCGTTCCAATCCCAGCGGGCAGCCTTGTGGGGGTTTGAACAGCCGGTTCCGCTTTCTTAATTCTTCGATAAGTCAGGGCCAAGCCAGCTCCGATCAGCCAGAACCCTGTTACCATGGTTCCGAATAGGTAGATATCTTCAGCACTCAGGCTCACCCGAGCCCAACTTCTCGTTGAGAAAGGGGTGTCAATTGCATTCAGGGACCAGTTGATCCAATCCATAATTCCTCTTTTAGGTTTTAGAGAACAGACTGTGAGAGAGTGTTCCAGGGAAAAGTAATACAAAAAACACGAGACTAGACAAGGACATCAAGAGGCTAAGCAGGGAAGCTAAGGGAGAGGAGGAGGAGGAGAGGAGAAAAGTGCGACCGCCTTCGTCAAGAGCAAGAGCAGACGAAGTTTTCTTCAGTTTATAGGCCGAATAAGTAGATTATAGGTTCAAGCTCTGTCCAGAATAGGGTTCATCAGTGCTTTTTATTTCATATCAATGCAGCTTAAAATGTTAAAAATGATGTTGAATCTGTCTTAAATCCTTTAAGACATTATTTCTTTACATTACATTTATATTTATATATTCTCAGTTTCACACCCATCATTTATTAAAGAACTGGATTTGTTAAATTCCAAATCCCATAAACTAAACTAGACACTCACGACACATTAATCGAGTGTAATTAATCTGTTTTTACCCAGGTACAGTAAATCTCTGATTGGCACTTGATGATGTCTCTGGGCAGTTTTCAAGGCCCCTGTCTAAACAAATGGGAAAAGAGCCATAACTTTAATTTAAGGGCCCACAAAGTGATAAAAAGTGTAGAAACCGAATCAGAATAAATACTCTTATTACAACATTACAACATTAAAATCCTCTGTGGTAATGTACAGATGCTGAATTACAAAGATTGAGTCTTTATCCAGATAGTTATCGACGTACAGTTGAAGCTGTAATGCGTATGTCAGCTCAACAACACATTTTGATCATGTTTAGCTCCAGCTGTTGATTGTCTCTTTGGGGACAGAGGCGGGAAAACTACAGTCTTTGCTTTTATATTATATTTTCTTTTCATTCCTTTATTACTGTGCCTCCCTTCTGTAATGTCTCTGACTGAACATCTCAACCTAACATTTGTTTCATGCAACTGTGATGCAAAGAGCTTGTGACAGATTACTAGCTCCTATTTAAGGATGGATTTCCTTGCTTTTATGAGGTCATCTGGTATCTGGAGAGTCAGTTTAATCCTTGCCTGCTTCACAGCTACCAGATCAGCCGGCTGACAGCGAGTCCCAAACACAAGATGATGAATAAAACATTAAAACAAGTCCGTCCATCTTGGCGTGACCACTGACACAGACACCGCTGCTGTCAGGCACAGCCATTGGTGCTGCACTCAGCTTTATTGCTTTATCTCTGTCCTCTCAGTGCCTTTTTTATTTCTTCCTGTGTGAGTGATTCATAGGTGCTAACATCAGCACCTCTGCTCCCCTCTCACTCAGGCTCCCAAAGGTCCTTGTCATCAAATCCTCTTCAGCCTCTGCTACATCCCTCGTATCATCCGCGCTCTTCCTCCATCACTATCCCTGCTTCCCTCCCTCTGTCATTCTCCTATCAGTTATCACTTTGAGACTTGAGGTGCGAGGTGGAGACACTAATCACAAAGGATAGCAGTGCATCAGTTTGTGTTTATGATATTTGTGTGTGTGTGTGTGCAGCTTTAGTGGGATTTTAATCACGCTGACGTGGGCCGTGATGGTTCACACAGTGTGATGGCTGTTATTGTGGTCATTTCTCCCTTACAAAGGTCAGCACTTCAGTTCAGCACAGGGCTGTGATAGCCTGGTCCTGATTGGGTTCCTCTTAAAGGTGTATTGCAGCAGCGTAACTTAACCCTTTATGAAGTCGGATACAAGTGTTTTTCTTGCTCCTTTAAATCCCCTGCTTACATTTCCTCTGAGTGTCTCTTTCTGTATACTCCACAAACTCTTCATTCAGTTTTGTTCATGGTTTTAAATGTGCCGAGAAAGATATCCCTACATTACACACTGAGATTCTACACATATATATAGTGGGTCAAATGAATTTGAATTCAATTAGCCATGGCATTTCTAACAAGAAGGGGAAGTGATAAAGCGGGCAAAGACATTTCCATTAAGCTCAGCATCTGTGTGGTTTACAGTATATTGATTATTAAATGCCTGACATTTTGATTGCACAAAGAGTGCACAACCTTCATTAACACTCAGTGGATCAATGGTCCAGTAATGTTATAGTCACAATGGGGAAAACAGTGACTAAGACCACAGAACAGCTAAGATTGTGGCTTATCTTGCCTTTGAAATGGTCGCTTCAAAGACGGGAACCTGGTTTGCGGACGCTCATAGTCAGTTGCCATCTTCAAAGCAACTTTGGTGCATGAAGGTGACGATAAAACAGCAGCTAGAGTCAGTCTGCCAGCAGTTTGGTATTAAATGGGGTCAAGTTGGCAATTACATTCAGTCTGTTTGTAATAAATCGTGAGTTTTATTTTTATTCCAGTGTGACTGAGCCATAAAAGACCTGTGAAGCAAACCAGATGGCATTCACTGAGTAGTTTTTTATTTAAAGCCAGTATTATCGCATTAAAAATATCAATAAACGACATCACAACACAGATAAGAGTAAGTTAAGAACAAGCTGTCTGTATACAGTATGCATTTAAACTTTCCTGCACTCTGATAGCAGCCACCCTGTCTCTTTTAAACAGCAATACCTAAAAAATGTTCTATGTCACATCTATGTTATATTTACATTTTTATAAATTAAGCTAGCAGTATATGAGGTCATTAAAAAGTAATTAAATTAGCTGTTTATGGGGAAATAAGAATATACAGGGAGCAGTAAAAGTGGGATCCAGAAGAGATTTTATTTCACTTTAATTTAATTTAATAAGGGTAATTTTATACCTCCATAACAATGAACTAACAAGCTAAATTAGTGTTGATATCCTATCATAAATGAATAAATTGCATTAAGTTGGAAAAACAATAATGAGTCATTTGAAATGTGTATTATAATTTTTTTCTTGTTAATTGGACAAGAAGTTTTGTTCACCTTCAACTTTTAATGCAAAAACCTGTTTTGAATCCAGCCTTGAGGACAAGTGACAAGAGGCTGTAACCTGTGTATAGTTATGCATTTGTAGTTTGGAGTATCTCTTGCTTTACAGTAAATGATGATTTACAGAGTTATTCCTCAGTGCCTGTGTTTGGTTCTCAAAGGAAAAGAAGACGAGGTGGTGACTGTGCATCCTCGGGCCATGTTCATTCCTCAGGAGGGCTGCACGTTTCTTGCTGCAGGTGAGGAAATAGGAAGTATCAAAACATAACCTTTTTGGCTCCTCGCTTGTTCCCACAGCAGGTAGCACCACACGTTTGATTTAGAAAAGTTCTATACCAAATGCCCTTTGTGCCATAACCCCAAATTGGATTTGTGTCTCTGGCTGGAATTGAACCAGCAGCCTTTTTACTTGCCAGTGGATGTGTACACGACTACACCATGGAACGACTTGTAATTCAACCTAATTAAGTGCATGAAAAATGATATTATAGAGTCATTTGGTATCTTTATCTTCCTGTGTTTGTTTTTGATTCCAGAGATCTGTTTATTTTGGGATTCATACAGCGTATCGGATCTCTTTAAATGCACTTTGTCAGTGCAGAATAACCCAATGTTGCTTTGGACACAAAGGTATCTCCTGTACTTGTACTTAGAGTACATGAGCAGTTTAATCACTGCTCATGTTTTGACACATCATTTATTCTCGAGTCGACAGAAATTACCTGCTCAGGCATGTCTTTGCATTTACTGTCGAGCCAGACAGTAACTACGTCTAAGAGAGTGGAAGAATTGCTGCACCGTAGTAGTGCCAACATTAGTTCTGCTTTTGTAGCCTAGCCTAGTGGGAAGAGTATGAACATCTGTTTTGACAGCAGCCCAGATTAAAATGAGATATGTGAGTAAAACAAGACTAATTAAAGCCTTTTCAGTAACACTTAGTAAAAAGAAAGGTCTCAGTAATAAATCTCAGTTGTAATAAGACTATTGTAGGTACTTACAAGATAATTGTCATACAATAGCAGCATGTATTATGTGTTAATTATGCTCGATAAGGTGTTAATTATAGCATCATAAGCCCTTGTTAGACAAAATCACTTGTTTAATTCTGTTTTATTTAAATAGCACCAAACAACAACAGTTGTCTCAAGCTACTTTATACTGTCAGGTAAAGATCCTTCAATAATACAGAGAAACCCACAACAATTCAACAACCCTTTATGAGCAGACAGTAAGCGACAGTGGGAAGGAAAAACCTCCAACAGAAACAGACTTAGAGAGGGGCAGCCATCTGCTGTGACCGGTTAGGAGTGAGGGGAGGAAGACAGGACAAAAGAGCCACAGATGAATAATAATTCATCTTTAAATGCAGAGTGGATAAACATATGCTGAGTGAAGAATAAACACTCAGTGCATCATGGGAATCCATGAGACTAGTTTTTCAGCGTCACTCTGAGATAGGATATTTCTAAATTTAGAGATATTGTGCAAATGGAAGAAAGCAGCTCTTCATATTTGTTTAATATGTGCACTGAACGACATATCCTGGTCAAAAATCACTCCAAGGCTCCTCACGGTGTGGCTGGAGACCAAGGTAAAGCTATCCAAAGTAAGCATCTGATTAGATACTGTATTTCTTGGAATTTCAGGGCAGAGTACAATAACCTCAGGTTTTTCTGAATTTAGATTCAGGAATTACCTGGCAAAACTTCATAGACATTTTAAGAATGCAAATTAAAGGCTACTTTATTAGAATTGTTATATGCTTTATTTATGTATTTATTGGTATTCAGCTCTGTGCTTATTGACCTAAGTGTTTTTTTGTAGCTACTGCAGCTAAAGAGAGAGTCCTTCCTAGTTAAATATTTTATTATACATTAATTATACATGTTTCTTATCAGCAGGTATATAATTACCTATCAACTAATGCATGTTGCAAAGATCTGACTCTAGAGCATTACACAAGTTTCACTGATCTTCTTTTATTTTCTGACAAACATTTGCAGCATCAGTGTTCTGACTTCAGGTCCCATACTGCAGCTGAAGTTTCTAACTGTGAGCCCAAACAGCCCTCTTTTGCTGACATGACCTCGGCTGGCATCAGAAGGTCACTCCTGGGTGCAATGGTGATGTAGCTGTGCATGCAGATAGGGCAGAGTCGGGACACTGTCAGTCTGGGAGAGCTTTGTGGCAAGCCGGGGTGTCTGCTGGTCCTGACAGTGTGGCACACTTACATAACCAGGCAGATAAAACAGGGTTAGCATGAGGACAGCAGCAGAGTAAGAGTGAGGATCCCACACATACACAAAGAGCAGGGAGGCTCTAACACGCTCGCGCCAGCAGGCCAACACATGCCCACACCAAAACATGGACTTAGAGGCAAGATTGCCATGGAAACAACCCCTCCGAGGGAGGCCTCGCAGAGCCCCGCCACTTGCATGTCCTCTGATGTCCTTTCCAAACTGGAACTGGTACAGTGTGTGTATCCGTGTGTGTGTTTACACAGGAAAGCAACTGCTGTTCCTTTCCTGTGTCCTTATAAAAAGTTCAATGAGACGCATCAGAAGGTATCTGAATATTAATTTCTAGTCTGTAAAAGCAGTGTGTGTCTATTGATTCCTACCCCCCCCAATCCCATTTCACCTAAGATAAACAAACTGTTCTTCGTACTACATTTTGAACATCCTCCCTTTCCCAAAGCAACCTGTGTGCATCTGATGTGTCATTGTTTATTTTTACATTTCTGAACTCGTTTGTTTTCTGTTGGGAGATGTCTGCTGGTGTGTGGGAGCTGCAGAGTGAGGACGAATGGGAGCTAGCCAAGATGAGAACAAGGCAAGCTTCCGACCCTCATCAAGCCTTCTTAAAAGCCTGCAATTAGATTGGTTTTATTTGAATTTCTTTAGCTTTCTAAGTTGATAAAAGCAATACTTTTGGCCATCCTGCAAGCTTTTCATCAGAGATTTTAATTTAAAAAAAGCCTCATTCAAATATGTTATGAAGCTTTTCAAATGGTTTGACTATCAAACAGGCAGATGAATGACAAAGTTGAAGGTAAATTAAAATGTTAATAGCAGCTGCATAATGTGCTCTTTTACAGTATCAGCAGACATTTTAGAGATCAAAGGCTGACTTTGTTCACATCTGTGTGCGGGCATGACTCATAATCTGCTAACTTAATTATAATTTAAGTTAAGTTTTTAGAGAAACAAATTCACCTTGACCTCCAAACATGGCTCATGTAGCATATTTATTAGTTCCCTGGCTTTAATTTGGCTTTAAGTTTCTGAAGCCTGTTTTTTTAAGTAAAAAGTGGTAAAAATTATGAAGTTTTTCATTGGTGGAACCACTGAAATGTGATGTCTTTGTTTACATTTACTCCATGGTATCTTTTGAGCTTCAAAGTCAGCAGCTCAGTTTAAAAAAATCATTTATTTCTTTATCACAAACTGAAGCTGAACAGTATTAGAAGAGGACAGAGCAAAGCTGATCAGAATAAAGAAACAATGAAAGAAATAAAGTGCTGAACAGATTACAGGGAGATTACCTCTATTGATCCTGATACTGTTTTCTTTCCTGAATAAACCCTGGCTGCATTTGCACAAAAAATGTACAAAGAATATATATTTAAAAATATCAGCAGCTTTCTCTTTCTAGAATTTATTCTCAATCATGAAAAACTAATGGCACTACTACTCAGTTTCTTTTAATATGCTGTCCATATTAATGTTTAAGTCGTGTCAAGTTGCCACTAGCATGAGCTTCTTGCACTACTGGTGGGTGCAGTGCTGTAGAAACAAAGCAGGGTTGAGTTAAAGAGAAGCGTTTTGTCTGTCAGGGTTATTTCTGTGTGGATCGATTCAAGGTTTCCTGACTGCAGGCCTTGGAGAACATATATAGACCACACACAGGCTAAGTCAGGATCACAGATTCACGTGCTTCATACTCTAGCTGCATATATTTCTATAATATCAGCCCAGAAACTTTCTCTTCTCCTTTCTGTTTCTCACACACACACACACACACACACACACACACACACACACACAAGGATCCTGGTCAGCAATATGTTTCTCAGGCTGCCAGCCATGCTTGGAGGAAGTGTGATCGAGCTCATGAAACATTAATGAGATGATATCTTTAGAAACTCCCTCGCTCATCTCAGCAGAACCAAGACTCTGCCTCTTTCTTCCATCTTTCCATCTTTCACCTCACTATCACCCCTCCACCCTGCTTTCTTTTCTTCATTCAACCCCCTGGAGTCTCTGCCTTTATCCATCCCTTTTAAAATTTCCTTTGCAATTTATACTCTGAGCTTGGCTAAATGGAAATCAGTGTTTGTTTGAGCCCACATTGTGAGCCGAACAGTCGAGGGAGGCTATTACAAATTCCTTCCCTTCTTTGTAGGACTGAATGATTTGACCTGAAATCAGCATTACATAAACTGTCAGACTTAGCACAATAATGACAAATTTAATGCTGCTTATTTTTAATGCACTGGGATATAAAATATTCATCCTCAGAACACCATCCACATATACACCAACAGAAACCTACCGCAGCTGGTATTTTTATCCTGAATGAAAATTTTCCTCTGCCTGTTTCCAGTTTCTTTTCCCCACATTTGGTTGACTTTAATTTGATTTTGGAGCAGGGAAGCAAAGGAAAGGGATCTGTCTGGTTGGAATACCAGTAAATGTAATGTACTGCAGTGGCTTTGTCAGAGTGAATAGAAATGTGTGTTTGGGTTTCCTTGTGTGTGAGTATGTGTGACTACATCTTAAGAGGTGTTTCAATTTAGATCTACCAAACTGACAAGAGAGCAGCTGCCCTAACATGCTGATCTGTGTGTTTGTGTTTGCATCTGTGCGCATGTTGTGTACTCTTTGTGTTTGTCCGTAGTTTCAGCCTCTGGTTATCTTTCTGCTTATGAAAAGGCCTTTTCCGAAATGGGTCAGGTGTCAGAGGCCTTTTTAGTTCAGGTATTTTATTTATTTATTTGTTTATTTATTCATGTATTTGATCTGCAGTTGTACTCCCATGAAACTGTTTTCCTCTTTTGCAGTTACTCACTCCTCTCCTATCTCTACTTTATTTGCCACTTTTTTATTTTGTTTTTTTGACTAATATTAGTCTTTAAAAATATGCGTTTCACCTATTTTGGATTGCAAGTAAGAATCAGATTTATTTAAAATACTGTTTTAGCTTTTTTAAGATTGAAGAAAACATATTTCTCTGGGTGCAGCTTATGGTCTTATAACAGAGCTGTGAGCCTGAGGTGGCCACGTTAATCCCTCCCTATGACATCATACAGAGCTACAAGTAAAATAAACAGTTTGAAACGAAGCATTTAGAGTAGACTGATGCCATCAGTAGGGATGGGTATCGTTTAGGTTTTATCCGATACCGGTGCCAAATCGGTACTTTTGAAACGGTGCCGGTGCTCAAACGGTGCTTAAAGAATAGAGAACACAAAATTGGTCCAAAAACCTCTCATGTTCAGCTGGTTTTTTGTAAAAAGATAACAATGTTAGCCTTTTCTGCAGCTATGGGGCATATATGGTATCACTCTTGGCTGGAAGCAGTGCTTAAACAATGGAAAAAACACAAACTTCATCCAAAAACCTCTCATGTTTAACTGTTTCCCTCTTTTTCTTTGGTCATTTTAGCCTTTTTGGCCAGGGTGAAGGGAGTATCTGCCATCAAACAAGAAGACAGCCGCATGTAGCTATGATGATGTTTGCTAGTTCACCTTACATGCATTAATGTAATAACGTGGTTAGCCCACTCAACGTAAATTACACACGAACAACATTAAGCTACTCACGCAGAGAAGAACGGCTGCTGCCGCCCACTATCCTGGGAAACGTAAAATGATTGGCTAGAAGTGTATCACAGTTCAGGGAAAAAAAGCACCGAAATGTGCGCTGCTTTTCGGTCTGGTTACTACTGTTTATGTCAGAACGGGTGTGGTACCCATCCCTAGCCATCAGTGACTTATTTAAAACTTTGGCCGTGACCACGGTAGGTCGATATTAGCTTGTTCTTTAGTTCGTGAGTTCTCTTGGGAGATCAATGAGTTTAAACAGCATGAAAGTCATTCACAGTACATGGCCTTATCATTTTGGTGACACATTCACCAAATGCTTAAATGTAATTACCATTAGATGAACTAAAATACTTTATAGTCAGTGTGACATTTAAATGTGCGCTGCCCATAGTCACATCAGGTTTTAATAACAGCATTTATGTAGAAAGTTGCGTGTCCTTTCCCTAATAGCCCACATTTACGTGGCAGAGTTTGTTCACTCTGAGGCGGATGCAGTGAAATGGATCCAAATCATGTCAATTACGCTATGACATGGAAAATAAAATCAAAGTGCCTTGTGAAATCAAATTGATGTATTCACAGGAAACCCTGTTGTTAGGAGCATTATGGAGAATTAGGGAGCAAGATACAATGGTGTAATTGCAGCATGCTTCATTACATTGTCACGTAAGAAAGTCAGCTCCCGTTGGGAGCTTTTTGACACCTGCGTACAGTAAAGTTTTAAAGTACTCGGCTGAAAAAGCTCAGGGCTGTGCTATTAAGTGGAAACTTATGCACTAAGTCACAGTGGTTTTCCAGATCAGAACAATAAAGCAGATGTTTGTAAGGAAAGTAGCTTATTCCCAGGCCAGTAATGCCAGGAATAATGGGAGAAAGATTACTTTCATCCAAAGTGCCAACACAAAATCTCTCTAGGTGCTCTTTGTGATGTTCCAGCTGGTTTTCAGCACTCACTGAATCTGGCTAAAATTAGATCGTCGGGGTCAGTAAATGTGCTGAGCGCCTCTGGATCAATTCTTTTGATTTACATGAGTAGACACTGAAAACTTTGATTGTAAATCTGGCTGCCTTGTCTGTGTTGTCTCCATAGCCTGTATATAAATGATGGATATGAGACTGTGATATGCACCTTTGGTTTGGGAAGTCTTGCTTTAAAGCCATGATTTGAACATTGTTAACCATCTTTTTGTTTTGTTATATTTTAAACCCACATGTTCTTAGTGAGGAATGGCTCTGACTGGGGGATCAGAGCCAGGTTATGTTTTATAACCTAACTTTTAAACTAGCAATTGAGGTCATAAACTCCCCAGCAAAGTGTTTACTGAAGTCAAATGTCAAGTAAGTAGCGAACTCGGACTACTGCTGTTTTATGTACTCTCTGTGGTTATGTGAGATTCATTTCAGGGAACACTTGATTATCAGAGGATAACACAATTAAAGTTAAACTTCAGGAATATCAGTCAGTCCAGTTAGTTAGAAACCATTGTGAATCTATTTCACCTGTTTTGGTGCAAATGAAAGTGACAAATCCTGCAGTGGAGAGGCAACAAGACAACACAACAACAGGCCCAGTATGTGCTTCTTTGTGCAAGGATGAACAGAATAAGGGCATGATGTCCTTTAGTAGGATCTGTGCTCACAGCCCAGAATCGTGCATCATGATTGGCTGGAACACCAGAACTGGGAGATCTGCCTCTGGTGCTTCAGTCTCAGAAGAGAGCAGGTCCACACTGAGCATGTGTGACAGACATGAAAGACTATACAGATGCCATGGTGAATGTTATGCTATTAGCACCATTATCATGTGGGTCAGTGATTGTATGGAAAGGCATATTTTGGGGGGATAGCAGAGGCCTCCACATGCTAATCAACAGTAGCTTGACTTCTGTTAGATACCAGGTTGGTCCAACTGGATCCAACTGGGAACCTCTATGGCACCACCCGTGGACTGTGGAGTGGCTGCTTTAACTGTGTCTTTAATCACCTTTAATCTTAGCAGTTTGACATATACATTTTGGTTTGGTGATCGAACACTGGCATCAACAGCTGGTAGAAACACGTGGCTCACAAAGACGCAGATATGTTTTATTTTAGCTCTTATTTCTTCCTGGAAGCTCTCGCTCTTTAGACCTTGGTGTCTGTATTGATTGCTCCACTCAGGAGGGCAGGTTGGGGAACAGAAAGTAGTAGTTTTCGCACCAGTAACACTTTCCTCTGATAGAAAAGTCTCAGATTAATTGTAAAACAAAGTGATATGAATGCTATACTGTTCAATAATACAGTATAGTACTTTTGAACAGTAAAAGGGAGTAACTTCATGTGGAGGTGGTGGTAGGATGTTGTTACCTTCAAAAGGAAACACACTTGCTGTTTTAACCAACTGCTGGCTCTAGCTGTATATCGACTATCCAGACATGAAAGTGGTATTGATCTTCAAAACTGCCAGTGAGTGAAAAAGCCCTTTGCCCAAAATGTCAAACACTTTTTAAAATATTCACAATCTAAAGCTTTTCCTTTTGCTTTCTGTGGAGTTGTTGTGATTAGATGATGACCAAATAAGGCATGTGTTTGTGGCCTGGGATTACTCATGTTGTGGGGACACAAAGTAAATCTCCTTTCACAGACTCGACTCGTGTTTTGGGACCGAGAATTAAACCTTAAATCTGAGGAGTTTCGTTAGAGGTTGCGGTCAGAGATAAACATGGCTGTGTCTGTGTGTTTGTATGTGTGTGTCAGACTTTTGTCAGGTGGAGCTGCGTCTGTTGGCTCACCTGTCCTCTGACCCTGAGCTGCTTCGCATTTTTACCAACCCGCAGGCCGACGTCTTTACCATGCTGGCCTCTCAGTGGTGGGTCTCCATCAGTCACACACACACACACACACACACACACACACACACACACACACACACACACACACACACACACACACACACACACACACACAC